TACCTGCGAACTTGCCTCTTACGACGATCGCCAGGTCATCGGCATATCCTAGGCAGTAAAAATCTGCAGATATTAGCCTTTTTATAAGTTCATCCACTAGGACTGACCAGAGAAGGGGTGATAGTACTCCTCCCTGGGGGCAGCCCCTGCCTGCTTTAGCTGTCAATGTAGCTTCGCCTAGAGATGATGTTATTACCCTTTCTTCTAGGCTGGCTTTTATCCACTGACATAGGACTACTGGTACCCCTTTTATTGCTAATGCGTTAATTATAGATCTTGTTTGAGCATTACTAAAAGCTCCCTCAATATCTACGAAAGTTGCTACTGCCATTTCTTTATCCTCGAGGGATTTTGACAATAGCCTGTTAAGATCATGCATGGCCAAATCGGTTGACTTTCCTGGCTGATATGCATATTGACGGTCGCTGAGAGGATTTTCTCTCAGTATTTCGTCTCGTATATATCTATCTATTAGTCTTTCTAGCGTTTTCAGCATGAATGAAGATAGACTGATTGGGCGGTACGACTTTGGCGTCATGTCATTAAACCTTCCTACTTTAGGGAGGTATATGACTTTCACCTTTTGCCACGCCTTTGGTATGTGTCGCCAGGCTATACATGCTTTAAATATGCGACACATATGTGGAATTAGAATTTCCTGTCCCTTTTGTAGTAGAATGGGATATATTCCATCTGCTCCTGGGGATTTGTATGATTGAAATTTGTTTGTAGCCCATCTAATTGTGTTCGGCCTCGATATTTCTGTAGCTAGCCTCCATTCCAAAGGAGTTGGCCTACGAGACCTTCTTTGAGGGCTGTATGCTACTATCGGGTCTAGCAAAATTTCTGCGGCCGGAAAGTGTACTTCTGTGAGCATTGTTAACGTTTCCTCGAAGGTTTTCGTATAGGTTTCGTCATCTTTCCTGAGAAATCCTACTTGGTTTGCAGCACCCTCTTTAGCTAAGACTTTGTGGATTCTAGAGAATGTGGGTGTTTCAGATAACTCCTCACAGAACTTCCTCCACGATTGCCTTTTAGCCTTTCTTATCTCCTTGTTGTACTGCGTGAGTTTAGCCTTGTATAGGGCCCAGTCTTCGGTTGACTTGGCTTTATTAAATAGCCTTCGCACTTCGCCTCTAAGGCGTTCCAAGTGTTTATTCCACCAGACTGTTTTTGTTCTTTGCTGCCTTGTTTTCTCCGGACAGTTTTCCTCGTAAGCGGTTATAATAGCCTTACTTACTTGGTCTACTGCTCGGTCAAGGCTTTGTTCACCTGTTATTTCCACCATACCCTCTTCGAGATACTCTCCAAGTGATGTTGAATACCTTTCCCAGTTCGTCTCTCTAGGGTTTCTTGGCGTCTTAAAAAACTCTTAGTGGTTTTTTGCTAGAAGAAAAAATACAAATTAAAGAATTAGACCGGCCAATTCCCGATTCTTTTTGTTAAATTCGGCTTATCATGATGTTCTAATTAAACATGATCAACAAGTGGATAAGAATCGATATGTTTTAAATCAAATTATAAATTGTATAAGGTTTTGTGAGCTTTTGAGTTAGCTTTAAGGGGTCACGATGAGAAAGATAATTCGAAAAAAAAAGGCATATTTAAGGAGCTGGTGAATTTTAGCGCCGAATTAGACAACGACTTAAAGGTTCATATTCATAGTTCAAAAGATTTCAAAGGAACCTCAAAAACAACCCAAAATGAACTTCTTGAGTGCATATTAGATGTTTATCACGAAGAAATTAGGAAATAAATAGAAAATTCTCATTTTTTTGCAGTGATTGCCGATGAAACGACGGACGTTGCTTGTGAATTTCAATTAGTTCTAGTTTTTAGATGTTTCTGTAAAGAACGACCAGTTCAGAGATTTCGGAGGTTTTACATGCTCGATGGACACAACGCCAAATCATGATCTGAAATTTTAAATGTTTTACATCCATTATTAAAACATAGTCCAAATAAATTAAGTGCTCAAAGCTATGACGGCGCGTCTGTAATAAGTGGTGGATTAAATGGTGTGCAAAAAATTATCCTCTTGCAAATTACGTTCATTGCTATTCACACCAGATGAATTTAGTTACAAGTGCATGCTGTGTCAATAAGCAGGCTAGAATATTTTTTTCTAATTTATCTGGTTTGTGCTCTTTTCCACGTCTCCTCAGAGAACAAAAATTTTTGGACGAGGTAGTTAATCGCAGGTTGCCAAGATCTTCCCAAACACGTTGGAATTTTCAATCGCGAGGTGTTCATACTGTTTATGAGAATAGAAAAGACCTCATTACAGTTGTGGACATTATAGAAAGTACTTCACGCGATTCGTCGTCTATTAATCAAGCAAGTGGGTACAAATTAAAACTTCAGGATAAACATTTTATATTTTGGTTAAGTATTTTTCATCAAATAATGCCTCACGTGGAAATTATTTTTAACCAATTACAAAAAGTATGCACAGATTCTGTTAATAAGGTCAAGAAAGATTTGTAGAATTTCGAAGCAGCAGTTCAAGGTATACGGGAGCAAATGGACAGCATTATTAACAATATTCAAGGAGAAATATACACGTCGCAAGGAGAAACTGGTGAACCAATAAGAAAAAAGGCACGAATTAAGGAGAACAGCAGAAAATGCGAAGCCTTAGAAATATACGATACCGTTTTATTGCAAATAAAAACAATGTTCAACTTCTCTATGGCCATTTGGTCGCTTCTAATTTATCTCGGAGAAGTTTTCGGTCTGTAGGCAACCCTTTTCCTGAATCGTTCCTCAATGAAACATGTATACACTTTTCATTTTTAGACAAAAATATACTTAAAAATGATATTAAAACATTCCTCAGAAATACAATGAAGGAAAAAAGTCTAAGTGCTTTATGTATGTTGTCCGCAGAAAAACATGTTGTAAATGGAATTGAAAATTTTAATAATAAAGTAATTGAAAACTTTGCAACCAAAAAAGAAAGAAGAATGGACTTCATTTATCGGAAACTTTAAAACTAGTATATCAAGCAACTTTGTGTGCGTGTATAAATAGGTATAGTTTTATTTTTGTGATTTTTTGGTATATGGACTTTATGGTAATAACAAGCTGCAAAGTTAATTTATAATTTTTAATTAATTTTACAGAGTTCTTTGATAATTTTTGAGTAATTTATTGGCAAAGTTTAGGATAAGACTAACCCTGACAGCCTGTTTCGTGGCAAAACTTGTGTTAGAAACCTAATAAATAGTAATCATATAATAGATATAAAAGTATCCGTCCCACTTATTTTTTAAATTAAAATTTTATATCTTTTTTGACAATACCGTGATAAATTTTTGCCCAAAGCCAGTTTTTTAAACGAATTTTGGTTAAAAATTAGGGCGTGGCACCCCAAAAAAATTTTCGCCTCCTATATCTAGGAAGACTCCTAGTGCTATTTCTTTGCTTTCCAATGCTTGTTCAGCCTGTTGAGTTAGCCTATGTATGGCTGCATCATCGCAAGACTTTCCAGATTGGTAGGCAAACTGGTATCGATGTATCGGTTTATCCCGTAGAACATAGTCCCGTATTCAGTATATACTCCTGATAGACGTGTTGAGTCTATATCCCAGTCACAGACGTGTTGAGTCTGTTTCCCCGTAGAAGACGCGTTGAAACTTCGACGTCAAGTCCGTACCCAATTAATATTTTATTTTCAGAAAATCCGTGCAATACACCGTCGTGTTGTAACAGAGTCCAATTTTACAGCGAACCATCTCGTCGAGACCACAGCTGTTCGATACTCAACGAAAGGCCGTAGCTGTTGGCCGGCCGTGAAGAAAACAAAAACTATTTTAAATATATTTTACTAGAGAGAATAAATACTTTTATTTTGAATACTGTCTTCTGAATTACCCTGACCGCATTACAAGTTGTCTATTAAAGAAACCATTGTAATTTATAATTATAAGATAAAAGTATATAAAAATATAGGTACTGTTTTTGAATTTACATATTTTTATATGTAAGACAGTTCACTTTTAATTTAATTATATGTTAACCCATGGATCGTTTGAAATAAAGATGAGATGCCTAATTATATTTGCACGTGAAAAAAAAAGACTCGTAAATTGGCTGCCTGTCCTCGGTGATTAGAGAAATGGATACCTCTACCACTAGTGGGCTGGTGCGCACTACATCTAATCAGTAGCATCGCTTACTCTATACTAGCCATGTCAAACTCAGTCACTGGTGGACCAAAACTATAAGGAATAAGATTGTGCTTTGTATAAGCCATACATTTATAAATCTTATCATATCGCGATATTAGAAACAATAAGTCCATATAAAATAGAAATTAAAAACTTACCATTAGAAAATCAGACACGTAAATACAATGACGTTATTTGAAAAATTCCTTCATTTATGAACTAATTTATCATTACTGATCAGTGGCAATTCTACATCTTGTATTTAGTTTAAGATTTATGGCATAATATTCAATGTTATCTAAATTGCAATAAAAATTCGTAGACTGAAAAAATATGTATAAGAAAAAACTACCTTATTTTTGGCATAGCATTTCCAAATACTTTAAAAACCACTACTTATTAATTTATTACGATTTTATTCCTAAAAAACTGTTTTTACTTTTAATTGCCAGCCACAATTCGGCGATTTATATATCCATTTTGATTGAATTGTAGTACTAAATATTAATATATCATCTCAAAAGTACTTTTCGAAAACTTTTAAATTTAAATTATTACTTTGTGTTATCCAAGTTTTTAAACTTTTAGAAACAATGAAATTTATTATCTTATTATGTCGTGACATCACCCAGGAGCATCGATTCAGAAATAACACATTTAAAATATACAACGATACCATACACCTTTATTTAATTTTTAAATTAGAAGGTATTTCGGATATTCAAAAAATCATTTAACCAGAGAGAAAATTAAACACATCTGAAAATTGAAGAAAAACTATTTCCTCTTTATCTTAACCAATGTTTAGGGGTAATTTTATAAATAAAAGATGTAAAAATAATTTTAATGATTCAAAAATAAAACATAAGTAACAAAATAGGTATTTCGGTAACAATATTTTAATAGCATTTATAAAATAAACTCTTGATATTTATTCAAAAAAAATTGACATCCTTTAGATCTGGAGGCATATACGAAAATGTTTCACCAGGTTTAAGTTTACTATAACCTAAAATTAAAATATATATAAATTAATATGTAACCTAGGAATTAAAATGCAATGGATGGCTTATGATTTTTTTAATGCTGTTGAAACTAAAAAATGTATTCATTGGAAAAACTACTGAAGATTATGATGTGACAATTATTAATGAACCAGGCATCCTTCTGAGAGATGGAATTTGTTTAAGTCGCCACTCTCTGTGACAAATCATTGCATCTATTATGCCTCAGTCCCAATTCACCTTATCTTCTAACAACGAGGAAGGCACAAGGGGAAAACTTTGCTAGAGATAAAAACACTAGCCAGGAACAGAAAGGAAGTAATTGACGCAGAATGATACGAGAAAGAAATTAAACAATTATTTTCCTGGATCTAGAAGAAAAACTTACCCATTTCTTTCATAAACTTTGTAGGAGCATTTCTAATATGCATCGGTACTGAAGGTTGAGGTCCTCTGTGATTCAAAATTAAAGATTTTGCTTTAGCTAAAGCGCTATCCGCTTCCCTGGATTTTGGTGCACGAGCTAAATAAATAGAACATTGAGCAAGAAGGACATCAGCTTCAGGCATACCAAGTAACTGACAACCCTGCATTGTAGACACTGCTAGCTGAAGAGCGTTTGGATCAGCATTTCCTGAATTAAAAAAATGTTTGTTATATTACTAAAATACAATGGTGTCACTGATAACACAGCTGTAATAACTGGCAATTAGGTGTCTATTAGTTTAGTTTAAATTTTATAATGTGAAAAATAGAACTAGGGTTTAATTTTCAAGAATACTGATTTATTGAGTGCATAAAAAATTATAAAATGATCTAAAGCTGTGTAAACGAATCGCAAACTATCGAAACGAAAGATGAAAAATAGAATGGTCAAAAAATTAAGTTTATTGTTATTGCTGTGGTTTCTAATAATTTAAGTGATATGTTATTTATTTAATTTACCTATGTCTTCACTAGCTGCTCTTACAAGTCTTCTAGCTATGAATCTAGGATCTTCTCCACTAACTATCATTCGTGTAGTCCAATAAAGTGCAGCGTTTTCATCAGAACCTCTTATAGATTTGTGCATGGCTGATATTATATTATAATGTTCTTCTCCTTTACGATCATATAACATATGAGATTTCTAAAAAAAATGATATATTGATGTATATTAACTCTTTGAGTATAAACGTCGCCTATTCGCGATATTTGCAAGTCACTTAAAATAGCCGAACGTCGTGTATAAGTGACAAAGATAAAAAATATGGAGACTAGAGAGAAGGGGGCGAATCGGCAATGGTCAAATTTCCGTCCTTTTTATAAAGTTCGCGAAATTGACTGTAGTTGGTATGTCAAATGACAGCGGTGTCAATTTTCAATGCAAATCAATGTAAAACGAAGTGATTTTTTTTAAAAAATTGTGAAAAAATCAAACTAATATGAAAAAAAGTACCCGAGTAGAAGTAACATGAGTGACAAAAAACATCAAAGCAAGATTTACGTCGTTCCAGATTGTAAAACAGAATAAAAATCAAATGTAAAACTAAAGAAAACACAAGAAATCAATTCAATGTCTTTTAAAGCTTCTAATGTAAGTAAAATAATCTATTCATGTCTAAATATAATATTTATTGTAAACTAGCCACAATATGTATCTTACAAAGTGTAGTTTATTTTATTACAAGTTTATATAATATAAAATTTTACAGTCCCCATTACAAACAATAATTATGCATTAAATTTAACTTACTAGAAAAGAAAATTTATTTTTTATAAAGTTTTAATGTTAGATAAAGAGCTGCTACTGTTGCTATTTTTTTTTTTGGACCCCAATTGTCATTTTAAATGTTTTTTATGGGATACTAAACGTTTAGAACAGTGGCAGCATATATATCGTCCTTAGTGCCGATAGAGCACTTTCTAGAGATGATGCTGTTCTATACTTTTTAGAAGATATCAAATATTTTTACTGTTGGTTCTGTTAGCAAAATAAAAAGAGAAGAACTGAAATTAAAAGATGAGGTAATACCATGTATATTCCCAAATCTACATTTATACTTGTATTACAACAATAAAAAAATCTGTTAACTGTATTTTATTTTACCTTTAAAACTATATATTGGTTCAACTCAAAAAAAAAAATTGTCACAAAATTGTACCTTATCAAATTTTAGCATTTAAGAAACCTTTTCGAGTTTGGTCATATATACCTAATTTCTATTTTATATAGTATTACAAGGAGTTCATAATAAGACAATAAATTGTTTTAAAAATATTCGTTTTTTATTTCCACTGAAATAATTGCGTGCCAAGCGCTCAAGAAGTTCTGCCTTCCAAATATTCTTTGTCTCGTCTTGTTACATCGGCTTGTGCTTCGTCAGCGATAGCAACGCAACATTCTTATAAACACTCGACAACATTGAGATATTAACTTTCAGGCAAATATTTTATATTCAACAAATACTTACTACTTAATATTTATAATATAATTATAAAAATCAACAATAATAATAATAATGGCATAAGTTTATTATATAGTAACAATAGATAAATATAATAATTTATCACTTAAAACATGCAAGACTTATTTAGAAATAAATACAACAGTATGTTATGTGCTTTATTTAGCTATAAACAAGTTTATTTTTATTATTTTGAACAAATTATGTTTATGTTTAAAAAGCCATGTATTTTGAACAGCCTATGCAGTACCAGCGCCCATGCGGTTAATTATAGAAGCTCAATTAGCATGCGTTTTTTGGGACCATATTTTGAGTATACCGATTCGCCTCCTTATCTCTAGGTCTTCATAGTAAAAAATTATCAGGATGTCCTATATATTCATATGAAAATATGATATTTTCTAAGCACTTATTATGGCCGAACGTTACTTGTGATCCACATTCCTAGGCAAAACGTATGCCTTATGTCACTTATAAGTGACCCACGATTGAACCTTAGGAAACACTGATACAGGTGGCAACCCCTCAAGGCAACTAATCATGAACTTACTTCACAATGAGCAAGTGACCACACATAAATCATGGTAGTTTTGTCGATTTTGCCAGGCAACACCATAAAACATACTAATTGTTTTAAAATAGGAGTCACTTATAAACAATAATAGGCATACAGATTAAATAAAACCATTTAATATTTTTTGAATCACAGGATAGCAATGTTATACTAATCCTTTCTTCTTTTGACTTACTTTCATACCTTCCTTAACGTCATCTACAGTAATAATTTTTCCAGTATCATTATGTTGTATTACCAATTGTAAATTATTTAGAGCAATTCTTGCATCACCATCACTTACATCAGCTAACCACCTTAGAGCTGAATCTTCTATAGCTACACTAAAAATTCAAGACAACAGTGATAATTATTATATCTATCTGCAGGTGTCCTAAAATAGAGTGACTGATCAGATCTATTGTAAAAGTGGTATGATAGATATTTAACTAAGAGCAGCACTAAATCTTTTATCTCATTAAAACATTATCAAGTACAAGCTTTAAGTCAGGGAACTTACAGTCTCTTATATTTTTTTGAATAAGTATTATTATTAAAGTATTGAATCTACCATTGAGTAATCAAATACAATCTTGTCAAATAGAAAACTCATTTTGTCAAGAAATGGACAATGCATCCTGACCTATGGTTCAGATATAGACTTATTTATTCAAAATCACAAAGAACTTACTGTGAACCCTTTTCCTTATCAAGACCACCACTTTGTGGTAAAGAATTATTCACTAAATCGACCTTAAACTTAATTGAAGCATTTATTAAAATTGAATATACAGTATCACAGTCTAACTTCTCCATTACTATAACTCTACATCTGCTTAGCAATGCAGAATTAATTGAAAAAGATGGATTCTCAGTTGTAGCACCTACTAATGTGATGTCGCCCCTTTCAACACTAAGCAACATTGTATCTTGTTGTTTTTTATTAAAAGCATGAATTTCGTCCATAAATAAAATGGTTTTCCTACCAAATTTCATTTCATTTTTAGAAATACTTATAACATTTTGAACGTCTTTTACACCACAACTTGCTGCACATAGAGAAGTGAATCTTAATTTATTTGGATTAGATTTGCATATTTCATTAATAACTCCAGCTAAGGATGTTTTTCCGCAACCTGGAGGGCCCCAAAGCACCATATTTGGTATTTCTGCTTTTTCTAGTAATGATCGTAATACTGTATCTTTACCTAGTATATTAGTTTGTCCAAAAAAATCCTTTAAACTTTTAGGTGCCACCTGTTTTGCTAGTGGTACTGAAAAATTGTTAGGGTTCAGCTGTCGGGGCCCCAGGGACGAACTCGTACCGAACTGCGACTTAAATTCACAATTACTGGTACTCTCTGCATTTTTGTTAATATCTTTATTCTCTCTATCGAATGTAGAGGAAAATTTATGTATACCTCTAGGAGATTTTTGGTTTATTGTTACTCTTGGTTTATTCTGGTGAAACACTGGCGATGGTGAACGTTTCCTTTTCGACATATCATCTTCGGGGCAGTTCAAAAATATACATTTATTAGCATGTTCTTGGATTTCTTCTATAGAAAATGTTTTATTGCAAATTGGACAAAAGGTAGTTTCCTTCGTTTGGCTCATTTTGATAAATTAATATGAAGATAAACTACAAAATAGATGGAATGAGAAATTACTTATTTTCAAATTGTTTACGTTTTTTTTAAACAAGATAACAAGAACCAACAAGAAAATAAATGTGCAAGATGTATCGATGTTTAAAAAACATCGATTTTTCGGTTTCGATTCGATGTTAACATCGATGATTTACTTTTCAATGTTTTTTTAGTTTTTTGTTAAGCGTCACGTTTCAACTTTTTGTTAAGCGTTTTTGTTTTTGACACATACTTTGATTTTCTTTTACGTTTTTGCTCTTCAATGAACGTTTTTGGAAAACACCGATGTTTACAATGTTGGTTGCATACTTTTCATTTCTGACACCTACATACAATGTTGGTTGCATACTTTATGGCGGGTTGATGGCAAAATGACTCTTCAACCGCTAATCTCATTCGCCCACATACTTTGATTATTCGCCACATAGATTAGGAAAGTAATTGCTACTTTGATATGTTCTTCTCTAGAACCCGGAGTAAATAAGTAGAATGTTGTAGAACTACTGAATAAAAAATGTTTGCAAGGGCAACACTCTTAGCTGAGAGCGATACAAACAATTTGAAAGCAATTTAACCCCTAGGTTCCCTACATCGATGTAGTAACAAAACAGGGCAACAAAAAATGTTTTCAAAGTGATTTTTGTAATGTTATAGACGTCTAGAAGCAAATTATTTCATTGCCAGGAAAAAACTAAAATATTCATCGATAATAAGAAACATTATTTTGAATTTGACAGGTTACACGAGAGCTCCCACCACCGAGACATAGTACATGTTTCGCCCCCCCCTGCTGTACGCAACTACAAACAGCAAGACGTGTGTCTTTTTATCCAACTGTTTGTTGCAGCAACGATGGCATCGGTGCGGTATCTACCTGTCTTTTTTTTTTCATCAATCTATCAATGATGAACTAACAGCACTGTCTTTTTATCCAACGTTGATGCAATCGATGCAACACCAGTCCATCAGTTTTTACGATTAGATGTGACAACTGACAGCTGGATTGCGGGAATTAATCAGATTTAAGGAATTAATCAGAAAATCAGAATTAATTAATTCAATAAATTGAATTTAGCTCAAAGCCAATATCACACAAAATATAACGACCGTCTCCCCTTCAAAAAACAACTACTCCTTTGGCTAATACCGCAACAGGCATTGAATTACATCCGAAGGAAAGAGAGCAGAGATAGAAAATTAATTTTCAACACTCTCTACTTTGATTTTGCTCACCAAGGAGAACATCATTCTTGGACCGGTTTCGTCCTTATTAGGACTCCTCAGCAAGAAATAGATAGGTTCTCAATTTCAGTCTCTAATGGAATTAACAAATGCTACACATTTCATCAGTATACCATAAAATTAATTAATTATTTAATTATTATTTGTGGAAAAAACCGAAAAAAATGAGCTTTTAAAAATATATTCGTCCAAATTAAAGTACCTATAGGTACATTGAAATAAAATTATAAACACAAATGTTATCCCAAAATGTTAACTGTTATTTATTTCAACGGTCAACCATAAATAAATCGAATCCAACACAAGGAGTTCAAGGTCGCATCGGTGAAACAACGTTTCCAACAAACCGGTGGAAAAAAAAGACACACGTATAAGTAAAAAACACGACATGCCAATTTTTGCAGTCAGATGAGGGATTATATATAGGTTTTATTGATAATTTAATACAGAATTATGTGCATACAAAACATACCTAATACAATAAGCAAGTAAATACTATAAAAACAATACCTAAAAAATATAGTAACAAAAATAAAAAATACAAAATAGATAAGTACAGAAAACAAATATTATAAACAAAAAATTTCTAATAGGTTTACAAATTAAAAGTTTTATTAAATAATCAAGTTATCAGAATGAGCAAATTAGAAAAATACCGGGTGCATCATTACTCCAAAATACGCAAGGATATATTTTTTAAATAGTATAATTTTTTCAATTTTTCGTATTCTAATAATTTTAAAATACAAGCGTTTAAACCGCACAGTGCCTACTTTATTAGTTCGTAAATAATATTTATTAAAAAAAGAAAAATTATAGAGTTTTTGTTGCCAAAATAATTAACAGACCCTTATTAATTTGAAGTGACTTCCTTGTTCTGTTTGGTTACTTTTGGTACATACGGTGTGTCTATTTACTGTACAATGGTTTTACTTGAATATTTGATGTAGTTTATCGTATAAAGTTTTATTCTAGTTTTAGTTGCAATAAACGTTTGTAAAATGTATGCAATATTAATACTTACACAATAACTTTTTCTACTTTAACTTAACATAAAACCTACTAACCATAACAATGAAGTAATGTGTTTTTATTATCTAAAATGTCTCGTTTGTAATTTATAATCCACATGACGTCATATAGCGTGACAATGATAGAGCTAACATGCGCAAGAACATATCGTTATAGGTATATCGTGACGTTAAAGTAAAAAATCGACTGATTATAAAAATTGTAGATATTATACAGGACAGTATTATGTTAGGTTTGTAAATAATGTGTAAAATGTCCTTTTAAAAATGCAAAAATCATCTATCAAATTTTGAGCCTACCTCTATACTGGTATAATACTTTTTCATACAAAATAATATTTACAGATTTAAAAAATCCTGAAAAATTAAGACGTTATACATAGTTTGTTAACAGACATAAATTAAAAATTTTCTACGATTACTTTTACTGTTCATTAACAATGTAAATGCAAATTTGAAATTAAAATCAGTTGATTCGCAAAAAAAATTATTACCCATTAATTTTTAATGACAATTTAGTATCCTTATTCTTCGGGCTTAACAATACGACCTTTGAACAAAACGTTTACTTCTCCAAAATCTTGTCTGCTTACAAGTAGTATTAAGAAGGGATGATCTGCAATAAATTCTATAGGGGGTGAAAAATTGATTTCCATACTACAGCATTTTAGCATCATGACAGCTGCTGAAACAAATATTTATTAAGTTATTTTAGTCACAGAAGAAAGTATACGTTTTGCCGTGTCAGAAATGTCAAATTAAGACAGAAGTTTTAAAAGTGAATGTTAGTTTTTTTTTGTCGAAAATCATTTTCGTCACTCGTCAAACATTATATTTTTACATGAGTAGAATTGTCACAATTATTGCTGTCATGCGAGCCATAAGTCCTTTTATGCCTTATTTGGGCTTTTTCCGGCATTCATTTTCCCGTTACCAACCAAGAATATTCAATGAAATGAGTAAACCTCCGAAACCTTCCTATAGGACCACTATGGTCGTCATCAATCGTGATGATTGATTTATTCAGGAATGTACTAGACCCTTAGGTGAAACATCTCAAAATTACAATTATTGGCGAAGATACTTAGTTTAGTATATTCTAGAAAATTGTGGACCCCTGTATATATTTTAGCAGCTGCGAGATTGTTGTCTAGTGTTTTAGAAAACCACATAATAGGTACTTGCCGCTGGAGAGGTTAAGATATCGAAATGTGCAGTGGGCTCTTGAGGTATTTTTTAGCGGGTGTCTGGTTTAAAATATTTTCGACTGTTTTAAACCGTTTAAATTTTAGCGATGCAACTATGACGTCGCGTACGAAATATTTTAAACCAAAGCTAGAATTTTTGAACCAGTCTTAGGCATATGGTTCAATAACGGTTGACACATAAGAGATTCTGATTGTTGCTGTTGTATGTTGTTTTGCTCTGTTCCATCTTTGAACCTTTTGATATATTTGACGTTTTGTTGATTTTTATTGATTTTTGATAACTTCATACATATATTATGTGATTCATATTCATACATTAGTTATAATACAAATATTAATATTTATGGTCATCATAAACAGTTGGACGATGTGATCTACCTATGGGTTACTCTTGATTATGAAACAGTAATTCAATTAAAATAAGGTTAAAGGATTACTTATCAATTGTACGTTTTTTACAAAAATAATTACGGAGTTTGCTTCAGATTCTGAATTTGCCAGCAAATATTTAAAAGCAATTAAACGTTCTTTGGCAGTTGATGAACTTTGGAAAAGCCCAACAAATCTACAGCAAATAATCGTTAGATAATCGCGTATCTGTGGAGCTACGGAATAAATATAATAAACGTTTCAGATTGCAATGTACCTATTAAAAACACTTTAATTTTTATTTAAAATTACTATCAAACACTCATCTTCCTTCATCTGATTTAACAATCAGTAAAAAAATACGATCGAAATCAGAATACCTAATTAAAAATTTTGTCATATGACAGCAGATTATATTTTTAAAACACCCTATTTTTGCCATCTATTAATTCATGACGTCACTTTAAGTATGGTTTAAAAAATATTTTAAACCAATGTGGTGGCTAAAAAACAGCTTTAGTCTAAATATTCAAGACTAACAAAAAAGGATAGTCGGATGAAAAAATAACAAATTTAAAAATAAAATTTATTTATAATATAAGTTATTGTTTAATTTTTAATTGGTATTATATGTACTATCCTAATCTTCAGGCTGAATAATACGTCCTTTGAACAAGACATTTAATGTCCCCAAATCTTGTTTGTGCACGAGCAGTATTAAGAAAGGATGATTTGCAATAAATTCTACAGGGGGCTCAAGATTAATAACCATACTGAAGCATTCTTCCATAAACACAGCTGAAACAAATATTAATTTATACAAATCTTTTTTCAACAAACACTATTAAATTACATGCAACAACATATAAAATAATAGAATACGCCATTTTGCTAGAATCAAACCCAAATCCGGCTTCGCCCGTGTTGATGTAACAACAGATCCAGATTTAATTTTAAAAGGTAAAATATAGAGAGTGTCATAAAGCTATTAACAAAGTGAGGGATCAATAGGATTTTTGAAAAAAAAAAATAATATATCTAAAAAGAGGAAGATAAAATTGTGCCTATTATTTTTTTGTTTTTACCACTATTAAGTAAAGAATAAAAAAATATAGGACACAACGCCAAATTTACAGGGAGATAATTATATTTTACTTAGAAAATTAAACTTACAGCCAAAGAAAAAATATAATAAATAGAAAATGATCTATTTAACAGTTAATAACCCCTATATTTCAAAATAGTTTGATTAGCATCAATTTTATTGGTTTAAATTCCTAAATCTGACTATTTTGAAGGATTAAAAACAATATAAGTACCTAGAAGGTTCTATAAAAACGAAAAGCAAAACATATAATCTGGTTTTAATAAGCAGAAAAAAAATATTTAGATATTCATATTTTAATAAAGTTTAAAAATACAAGTT